TTAATGTAACATGGCAAAGATGAATGCACTTTTGGAAGTTGAATGTAAGGGAAATGTCATTTTGGAATTTCTGTAGTTTAATGTGATATTGTTGTTCATGATGAATTTTTTTTTTTATTGTTGTAATTAATTTATAGCATTAACAAGATGACCCGTCTAATTCATTTTGGGAGCGATGACTGATTGAATGTATTTTTAGTCCAGTGCCTCTGTGAAAGGCGTAGGACCAAGAAATGTTCATCCAATCAAAACACTCGGTCCGAGCGTTTTAATTGGCTTTCCTACCTGCCTGTCAATGTATGTATTAGCATACCTCTGCGCACCCGGTTCGCGCAGACAGGATACGTCATCATCATTAAGTTAAGTGGTCTAAATGTATTTGTCTGTATTTATATATTCTGTGGAAGGCGTAGGACAAAGAAATGTTCATCCAATCAAAACGCTCGGTTCGAGCGTTTTAATTGGCTTTCATACCGGCCTGTCAACGTATGTATTAGCATACCTCTGCGCACCCGGTTCGTGCAGACAGGATACGTCATCAGCACGTTCACGCACGCTGTGCAGACAAAGCGAGAATGGCAGACAAACATCAACAACCTGATCTTCCTTCCTGGTATTGTAGTACTTTTAAAGTTTTGTCACTGGTGAATAACATGATGTAGCCCAGCGGTTCCCAACTCCAGTCCTCGCCCCCCCACCCCGCTCTGCATATTTTGCATGTTTCGCTTAGTTAACACACCCGATTCAGATAACTAGCTCGTTAGAAGTGAGTTACGTGCATGAACTGTGTTCCGATCGATATGATCCCTACACAGTGTTCATTGCTCCCTACTCGCTGAGCAGGGGAAATCCGTTGAAGTTTACTTCACTTCGGAACATTCATTCATTTCCAGGATCTCCTACTGCACCTTTAAATGCCTGATCTCTTAACATGTGAATTGGTCATTTAAAAAAAAAATTAAAAATTATATAAAAGCAATATATATGTAAACTGTATTTATTAAAATATTGGCTGACACAAAATGCTCTTAGCTCTTAAGTTATGGTCGATAACTGACAAAATGGTCATTAATAAATCAATTAAATAATAAAAATTTTACCTAAAATATATATTGTTTTTAAGTGCAACAAGTGAATTTAGACATCACAACATTATAATGCACAGTATGAAAATAGATATTTATTTTGAGATTTGCTAAAGATTACTTTAACAGTGTTAAACTGTTAGTATTTAAAGTGATAGTTCACCCAAAAATGAAAATTTTATGTTTATCTGCTTACCCCTAGGGCAGGGGTAGGCAAGTTCGGTCCTAGAGAGCTGCAGTCCTGCAGAGTTCAGCTCCAACCCTGAAAACAAAACTCACCTGCCTATAGCCTTAGTAATCCTGAAGAAAATGATTAGCTTGTTCAGGTGTGTTTGATTACGGTTGGAGCGGCTCTCTAAGACCCAACTTGCCTACCACTGGACTAGGCAATGGAACAATGCATTAAAGTAAATATGACTGTAAAATTAGTGTCATGGGGATGTTATGATTTCAATGACCGCTACTGAAGACACTATATAATCCTGTGAACCATTTATATGAAAGGGATTCAGAGCAGGAGAGCATTTGGATTAGTAAGAGTGAAAGGTATATACTATATAGTATATATTTGACATATGGAAGGGACTGCGACATACAAATATTATGGAGATGTTATGAATGGTCATGAAGGACTGGACAAGGTTACTAAGGAAACTTAGACATACAGGAACTCCTGCTTGGCTGTGCTGGTAGGTGAGGTTGGAAAATCCTCTAGTCTGCCAGTGAGAGAGGCAGAAAAAACAACAACAAAAAGATGACAGATAGAGAGAAGAGAGGAGAGTAGAGAGCAGGAAGGTAGAAGAGGGAAAGTTATCCACAGAGAAAACATTTCAAAAGTGTCATATAAGCTGTGATAAATCTGTACTCGTAAAAATATATTTGTGGAAAGAGAGAACACCTGAAAAAAAAAACAGATCCAAGAATAACTTTAAAATAACTTTAAAATATGGTAATCACAGAGAGTATGCAAGGATTAAAGTGCATTTTAAGTACATTACAAGGGCTGCTTGAACAGGATTTTACATTTTCTAAATCTAGGCTGTTGTGGGTCGTTTCCAGTGTAGTGCTATGGAGTTTCTAAACTGTGTTTGAGTAGTTTTTAGCTTGCTACCATGCGGTTTCTAAAAACACAGTGAAGTATCTGTGACACGCTGGTCATTAAATGCACTATCGTTCAAAAATCTGGGTTCAGATTATTATATTATATATATATTATAATATTATATATAATATTATTTGGCAAGCATGCATTCATTTGATAAAAAGTGGGAGTGCAAACAAAGATTTCTAAATGCATGATTGATGCATGAATAAATGCAGTATTGATAAGAAATGCTTCTTGAGCACCAAATCAGCATATTAGAATGATTTCTGAAGGATCACGTGGACTAACAGGAATAAATTACACTTTACAATAACATGGACTGGAATTGGGAACCGCTGATGTAGCATTTTCCAGGATCTCCTACTGCACCTTTAAATGCCTGATCTCTTAACATGTGAATTGGTCATTTAAAAAAAAAATTATATTCTCTTGAAAAGCAATATATATGTAAACTGTATTTATTAAAATATTGGCTGACACAAAATGCTCTTAAATATTTTGTTATGGTCGATAACTGACAAAATGGTCATTAATAAATCAATTAAATAATAAAAATTTTACCTAAAATATATATTGTTTTTAAGTGCAACAAGTGAATTTAGACATCACAACATTATAATGCACAGTATGAAAATAGATATTTATTTTGAGATTTGCTAAAGATTACTTTAACAGTGTTAAACTGTTAGTATTTAAAGTGATAGTTCACCCAAAAATGAAAATTTTATGTTTATCTGCTTACCC